GATCTTGGTTGTGATGTTGATTTACCGAGGTCTTTCGGGACACTCGGCGGACTACCGGGTTTATATGAGTGAAAGTATGGGTGTGTCAACGTGTTAGCGGGGACAACCGTACTTGATCTTGTATAAATTGGACGGTTCTGTCACAGGGGCCGACGGCAGCCACTTAGGGCGCTCTCTCACTTGGAGGCTCTCGGGAGCAGGGGAAGGGAGTAAACTGACGCCAGCTTCAACGCCCAAATCTTAATCTATCACCCGGTGTTTGTATGGTAGGGGCATCTTATCCGCAGGATCGAGGCGGCGGTGACCGGCGAGAGAAGGGTCAAGGGAGGTCGCTGTTAAATTGCACTTACACGGTGCTTGTTCCGAACTTCCAATCCGTTTCCACCACCTTCCGTCGGCGACGAGCACTGTGATTCCAAAGTCCAAACCATTCACCTCAGGCGCTCGCGCTATCGCCACAGCCCACGGCGACCCTCCCCCGCTCCCCCAGCTCTGAACCCTCCAAAAACCTATCAAAATCGCGTTATCACTCAAAAAGGCCCCGGGCCCTGAGGCACTGGGCAGAGACCAAGAAATATGACGTGACCTCGTGGTTGAAATTTAGATCAGCTCTAAGGCCTTGTTTAGATTGTAAGTTTTTTCACTTTTTCTATCATATCAAATCTTTGGACACATGCATGGAGTATTAAATGTAGATAAAAAATAACTAATTATACAGTTTGATTGTAAATTACGAGACGAATCTTTTGAGCCTAGTTAGGCCATAATTGAACAATAATTATCGAATACAAATGAAAGTCCTACCCCAATCTAATCGAGGCCCAAAACAAAAGGTGCCGCGCGCGCGACTTCCCAGGCCCGGTGGTCTCAGGAGATGAACGTACAGCCATGTCAGAAGGTCTGTTGTCCGTGTCCGTGTCCATGGCCCTAGCTACGGCTAACACTGACAGGTCAAGAGAGGACAAGGTGAGGCGAGCCCTGTGTGTCTCCTAGCCCAAGGGCCAAGGGCCAAGGGCCAAGGCCACCACTCGGTCCACTCCACTCCACTGTGCTGTCCCATGCGTTGCGCCAAACCAAGGTCCGAATCACATGCTGGCTAAACTCCAGCGACATGCTGTTGATTCTTTTCTTTCTGGGAAGGAGATCTTGTTGATTCTTGAGGTGCCGCTCTTATCGATTACTCCTATCATCCAAACTCCAAAGTCCAAAGTGATTAGAAGCTAGTACTACCAAACTAGTACCGGTAGACTGCCCTAGCCAAGAACTTGCTCGCCATAAAAAGTCAGAACCCATCTTTTTTAAACTGGATTTGAGACTTTGACAGCACACCCATCATCAGTCTCTGGACTCAAAGTCACAAGGGGGCATCTTGCCGAATGCCAACAACACCTACAGGACATGGGGGAGATGCCAGGCAGCAGTAGAGAACACGGGCGTCAGGTTACAAGCAACTGCATGTGCCCGCGGTACATGGAAATGTATGGTACCCGTCTGATTGGTTCATTAAAAAGCCCAGTGATAGCGTGAGCCAGCATGGTACAAAGTACAAACAAGTCAAGTACTATTCTGCATGTTCCAATATATGGCCCTGTTCGCTGAAAAAACAAACCGAAACACTGTTTCGGCTGATTTATTATGAGAGAAAAACACTGTTCCGACTGAAAAAACAAGCTGAAAAAGACGGATTATAAGAGAAGCGAACAGGGCCATAATGGAGCAGTACTACCTTCTTGGGTTGCTTACAAGCTTTTGCTTCCCGCTTGGGTTGCTTGTGAATCTTACCGAAAAACACCGTTTACATACTGAATTGTTGTGAGAGAAAAAACTTATTTCGGATTGAAAAAAAAAAAATTTGAATAAGATTGTTTTTCTGGGTAAGCCGAACGGATTAGTAATTTGTTCGTCCCAGTTGATTGGAAAGGGTAGGGTGATGTATTATTGGAGCAGTACCGAATAAAACATGATTCTTTTTTTTTTTGAAATAAAACATGATTCTTACCATGCCTATATAGAGTTGGTTACCAAGGGTCCAGAAAAGCGTGCAACTAGCCAACTATGCAGAATCGTCGACACATGGAAATAGGATAAGCTTAGGGTGATTCCTTGCTTAAGTTAGGGGTCAACTGTTCCTGGCGACGGCATCATGAGAAACCTAAGCAGAGTAGCACTGTCCAAAAGGGCAGGCAAAATGAGTGCGTGAAATGAGGCGATCCCATATGCATGGTCATGGGCTCATTGCAGCTTTTCCAAAGTTGATTATTACTATTATTATTTTTTTGGCCTGTTTCCTTATGATGACTTTAGCTCATGATCATTTGAATCATGGGGTCTTGACTCTTGACATTTTGCTTGAGCATCGCTTTGCGTCCTTTTTTACGGGAAGGAAAAGACTAACATTGTGTGATGTGATCAAAACTTCACAGCACTGTTCGTTTGATGGTATCAGCCGTGCTTATCAGACATGATACATTATTTTTCTCTCATAACAAAATAGCATAAGCAGGCTTCGAGCGAACATGATGAACTTGCAGTAGGCTGCATCTGCACGAGTTTCGACGATTCACACATCTGCAATCTGCCTGCGCTTGTAGATACTCCTTGATAAAGCTTATCGAGAGGTTGTTGTTGGCTTCAAGGAGAACAACAGCAAAGGACAAACCTGGCACAACAACTCAGTACTAATCCACAATTGTTTTCTCTAACCCCAAAAGGTTTAAGCTCAAGGCTAGTTTTGTAGTAGTACTACTACACCATTTTACTACTATTAAAACAATGTTGAGTTGTTGACACTGACAGACAGAATCGTGAACAAAGCGATGGTGTCAGCACAGTTTAGTAAATCGAGGTCGCTAACTGTTGATCACTGACAGACTGTTGTGTACGGACGACGTGACACTGTCATGGATGCTGATCTGCTGGATACTGGGAATTCAGATTAGCAGGAAAGCAAGTACAGTACGCTTGGACGCCGTCAGTGTAGTAACTGATGCACATGGAAGGGGGTGCTACTTTTGGTTCGTGTTTGATGCATTCTTTACTACGTTTTGCATGATAACACGCTGGGAGTGGAGGAATTATTTTGTTTATGTCAGCTGCAGATGTTGATTAGATACCCGATGGGTATACCTATCCATATTCATATCCATTAGAACCTTTTGCATAAAAAAAAACCCTCATATCTATGTAGGAGGTATAATTTGTGTCTATACCTATGCCCATGCGGATAACGAATGTACTATAGGTTGTCCATACGGAAAAAGAATATGTCACATGCATCAAGCTATGGCCATATAAGCAAATTACAAATCTAAAATATGTAACAAATGTAACCAAGAAGCGATATATATGTAGTTCCTTTTATATGGCACTAGTTGGGCCTGGTTTGACCACGTTTTGGAGTACTTTTTGAGTTGAGGGGTGGCTAAACTACGGATGCATATCAGGTATATACTTACCCATGGTTTTATGGACACAGATAGAGTAGAACCATACCTATGCTCACAAATCCAATAGGTAAGGATTTTTTGTCCATTAATTAATATATTTATTGGTAAGAAAATTAGTCCACAACCAATATGCCCTAGTAAGGTAAAAATTCATTGGGTTTTGGGTTGCAGATACCCATTGTCGACCCTACTTGTATAGCTGTATTGTAGCAACTTTGACCATTTGTTTTTCTCTCAAAAATATCCTTACATATTTCAAAGTATATAACAAGAAAAACTATATATGACATACAAGGCTAGAGTATATCTATAAACCTTTCTAAGAAAAAATGCTTGGAAAATGCAATTGTAAAATTTTAATGTCAAGTAAACGAAAATGGAGGGAAATAATAAAACTAGATTTATTTTCTAAAGAAAAAACTATATTTCTCTTGGAAAAATAGTTTAGTCAGGGTGGTCAAATGGCATCTTAACTATTTTGTGGTTACCTTGAATGCCACTCCTTTATGACTAAAGGAAGTAATATAATTTTTCTAAACTCGTACTGCATCTGCATTGGAAGATTTTTTTTTCTCCCGCTGAGAAGATTTGCTTCACATCTATAGCATTAATTGTTAGAGCTATGGCTCTTTGTAAGTGCTTGTGGAGTATTTATGTGCCAGCCAATTTTACTAACCGTTTCAGATGTAAGCAAATTTAGCACCATATCACATCAGATTTTTCCTGTCAGCAGGTGATTGATGTAGCACATTAGTTTTTTTTCTCACAGTAGAAACACTGTGCAAAATACAATCTCACAGTTCAGTTTTGGTTTTGAAATTACCGTCAAAATTAACACATGAAAAGAAATTACTGTGCTCTGTTAGAACTTGGAAACGTCCCTATCATGAAAAGCCCAGAGCTACAAAAGCAAAAGGAAAAGAGCAGTCGTCTCGGTCTATCCGAGCCGAGGACCATGGATGACAAGGGGTTAAAACAAGGGCCCCTTAAAACAAACCGGCTGTCACTGGGCCCCACACTGACAGCCAGGCATCCCTGCTGCTAGCCTGCTACTGCCACAGTCCTCAGTCATCGCAGGGGAGACCGGTCTCTGGCAACGGAGGTTCACGTGAGCGCCCAAAAGGCCAGAGCGAAGCAGCCACGGGCCACGCCAAACCAAAACCACCCTCTTCCTCCCTCCCTCCCTCCCCGCTCGCTTCTCGCAACTCCCCCGTAAATCTGCACAGCCAGCGCGGCATTTAATGCTCTCCAACCTTTGGTCTCCCTCCCAAACGCTCCCCCATTCCTTCCATAATCCATCCCATTCCCCTCTCGCCCACCAGGCCCCAGCCCACAGATGCGGCAAGATCGAATCCATGGCGAGAGCTAGCAGAAGCCGTGGGCTTGGTGCTTGAGCCCTCGATCCTTGGGGGTCCCGGTTCCTTCTCCTTGCATTGATCGCGTCCCTTGGCGCGAGGAGACGAGCAGAGAGAGAGAGAGAGAGAGAGAGAGAGAGAAAAGGACGGTTCTTTCTCGTGTTTCGTTCTGTCGATTCTGCGGTTCTTGGGAGTAGCAATGAGGCGGCATGGGTGGCAGCTCCCGTACCACCCTCTCCAGGTTCGTCCCGGCTGAAATTTTGCGCCTTTTCTTGCTGGGCGTGGTTTCTTTTGTCGCCCGTGATTACTGAAGATTCGGTGTCTCTCGCGCGCATCGCAGGTGGTGGCCGTGTCCGTCTTCTTGGCGCTGGCGTTCGCATTCTACGTGTTCTTCGCGCCCTTCGTTGGGAGGAAGGTGTTCCAGTACGTCGTCATGGGGCTCTACACTCCGCTGGTGAGAGCTCCTGCTTGGCTCCTTCGATGCCATGCTGAGTTGAGTGAGCGCCTTGTGTTTTGCTTGTCTGGGACCTTTTGGATCCCCATCTAGCTGCTGCGTGATGGGCCCAGCGGTGCTGGAGCTTGGGAAGGTGCCGAATTAAGTGTGGCCTGATAATCATGAAATGTGTTGCTTGGCAGTCTCGCGTATTTGTTTGGTAGGATTTCTGTACGTTTTGTTTGCTTGTTTAAGGGTGGTACATCTTAAATCGTTTGGCTGACCTGGGCAATTCTTGTTGTGCCATCATGTGGCGTGCCTAACCCTGGAAGCAATGTCTGGTTCGTTCAGTTCAACAGCTTTGCTTCAGCGTCCATGGTTGGTGGAATTCTGGCTTGTGTCACAAGGTTAAGGACAACAGTGCATGCTTATCTGTTGTTTATCTTACACCATTGGGAAAATATAGTTTCAGAACAAGTGGGAGCTACATGTTCGTCAGGCTCTGTGTGCCTCTTCATTTCTGTCCACTTCAGCACTACTGTCTTTGGGTTGTATGCCAGAACACGTGTTTGGTTGGATTTTGTAGCTCCGTTTGCTGGAGAGTGACATGTCATAAGTAGTACTTATTATACTAACATCGTCAGTTTCGTAATGGCGGTAACCTTCTGATACCATGTCATTACTCCGGGTGCTGCCTTGTTGTGATGATGCCAACTACTGAAAGACTGTTCTGTGAAATGGGCCGTATCAGCCCTGCAAATTACTGTCCTGGATTATCCTTTGCTTCACGGTTGTCATGAAATCTAACTTGTTTTGAAGCTTTCTTTGATTTTTTCTTTTAAATGTTGCGCTTATGCTGTAACAGTGTGATGAGTAGGCAATGCTGTGAAATGGTGCCTGTTGTTCTTCTGACAGACATGTAGTGGCATGCCCTTCACTGCTTCTGACAGACCATGTGTAGTTACTGTTGGCTTGGAATTATGTTTTGCCCTAACGTGTGTGAATTCGTGAGCCACAAATTTGGATAAACATGAAAAATTGCAGAAACAATGATTTCAAACTTTCTGGATAAAATTTATGTGCTCTAAAATGCCACATTCTGGTTTGCAAAACTGAAAAAAAAATGTTGTGAATGTTGAAAGGAATACAACATGGCTTACACAAAATGTCATCATGAAGCTAATGTTTTGGGCAAACTCTATTCTAAGTTCATGACTGCACCTTTTTGTCTCTCCCTAAGAATCAAAGCCTATCATAAGGAAATTTATCGTGACCAAATGGTGATCTGATCATTTCAGGTTTTATGTGTCTTCTTTCTATACATCTGGTGTGCTGCAGCAAACCCAGCTGATCCAGGGGTCTTCAAATCAAAAAAGTATCTGAGCTTGTACGGAAGCGGCAAACACAGGCATCTGAAGGAATCCAGAAAGGGTTCTTCAGACGCTCAGTTACAACTAGAGGGAACTGGAGAAAAGCAAGAGCATGAGGTCGCAGCATCTAGCGAGAAGTCAATGACTCAACACAAGGATAAGAATTCATCTTGCTTGAGTTCAACCTTCTCTGCATTTCTCCTTCTATTCTACCCTCTCTCTTTTGTTTTCTCCTGCTGCCAATCACATGAATGGTCCTCTGAGCAGCAAGCCAGTGAGGAAGGAATGTTTTTCTGCAGCCTATGTGAAGTTCAGGTATGTTTCTTGTAGTTATTGGCATTGAGGTATGTTTTTCTGCACACAATTAATAGTCCACTATTTCTTTGTAGGTGTTGAAGTATAGTAAGCATTGCAGAGTTTGTGACAAATGTGTTGATGGTTTTGATCATCACTGCAGGGTAACATACTCGTTAGCAATAGTCTTATTTCCATCAGTGTTTACATAATAACTCCCCTGTTTTCCTCAATCTCAACAGTGGCTCAACAATTGTATTGGAAGAAGAAACTATAGGAGGTTTTTTATTCTAATGTCAACTGCCCTTATCTTGGTAAGCTTACGCTCTCCTAGTCCTATCCATCTCTGATAGATTGTACTGATAAAGATGCTACAAAATACTTCTACCATTGTGTCATTATGTAGAGCATGTTTCCAATATCAGCTAGATTCTAGAATCAGTCATTTATATGCATCGGTCACCATTATTGTGGGGAGCATTTTATTCCTGGTCCTTTTCATCCTAGTTGACCATTGACAGGTCTGCATGGTTTGTGCAATTTGGGCCAGCTTATCCTACAATCAGCAATTGGAGTATTGGTGCTAGTGCTATGCTTTGTTCAGCGAAAGGAATTCGCTATGCAAATTGTTTCAAAGCTTGGAAGCAGCTTCTCTGTAGTGCCTTTTGTTATTGTGGTGGTATGTACTGTCATCCAACTTCTTTCATATCTACTGAATGGTTCAAAGATTATTGAATTGATCAGCTTTTTTCACCAATCTTTATCGAGATGCTCAAAGCGTTGACACTTGTTGACACAGGCATCATGTACCATCCTAGCCATGGTCGCTTCACTGCCTATTGCCCAACTTCTTTTTTTCCACATTCTTCTGATCAAGAAGGCAAGTTCTGATACATTTCCCTTTTGTCTGATTCTATTGCTTACTGACTCTTGTAAAAAAAAAGGTCCATGCCTATGAACCCAAATTATTCTAGCTTCTAAAAATAATATCCTTGTGATTCATGGGCAATGCTAAGGTACAAACTTTACCTATAAGGAGGTAATATCTCAAATTAATTTGAGCCATTGATTTTTATATTTATGAATTACTTAATAAATTAAAAAAAATCTAGGAAAATAAAAAAGTAATCACCGCGGATTCCCCTAATGGCGGAGAAAAGATCCCGTCTCAATTCCCCTAATCATGGGATTCCGACGGAGCGCGCATGGAAGTGGTCGAGCGGCTGGGTGGACTCGTGTCGGGTGTAGTGCAGAGTGCACGCTCGACCGTCCTCGTGCAGGGTGTGATCTACTGATCTGGTTGACATTTTGTTTTTTTTTAAAATAAATTCAGTATTGTGAAATTGTCCATATAGCGATTCGCATTGCCAGCCACGTACTAACACGTATACACACGCTACGTACATGTAAGTCACGTACACGTACTCACATTACCGGCCACTCGCTAAAACGTGTACACATGATACACACATATGTCACGTACGTGTAACACATAATAAAATGCTATTACTATCACACATACAGGTCATATTAAACACAAAATCAAGTGTATCAGGCCATGTACAAAAATACATGGTAACCAAAATATATCAAGTTTAAAGTTTCAAAATTTTTAAAAAATTGCCATATCCACCGGATCATGCATGCATCAATCAAATCTAGAAAAAAATTGTATCCAAAACTTCCTTTATTTATTCAATTTTACCAATTAAAAAATTAATTAAATATTTTTTCATCTATTACCTCCTAGGAGGTAATATGTTGTCATAACCGTCCAATCAAAACAAATGGACGGCTCACAGTCACTTGGGGGTACCGCAGCAAAGCTCGTGATTCATATGGGCAATCATAATTTTGTTAAGTTTCAATAATATATTACTATGGAAGGATTAGAAGCTGTTGGTCAAAGTTATGCACTTATGCCTTATTGGCAATCAGCTTGTATTAAAAATTCCTAGCCCACCTTACAATTTTTCTTTTGGATAATGCAAAGTTGGGTCCTATGCGCTGTGTCTATACTTTGTATGCAATGTGAATACTGTATCATTATGTATTGAACCAAATATTGATATCACTAGCAGGATTAGTATCAACATGGAGTTTTTTTTTATAGTACCACTTTGAAACTTTTGTTTTTTGAAAATAGTGATTAAAACAATAAACTGTTGGCACTGAGTACGCACTACATGCAGACACCATGAATAGTTTGAGTGTGATATCATAGCCTTTTGTGGTTATGTGAAACTGAAGCATCATGATGACAAACTTATGCAGGGAATCAGTACCTATGACTACATCATTGCCCTGAGAGAGCAAGAACAAGATGATTTGAGTGGGCAGCAGAGTCCACAGATGTCTCGTGTAAGCTCATACACTGGACTCAGCAGTACTAGTTCCTTTGGTCCACTTCGTCGTGGTTCATGGTGCACTCCGCCAAGGCTTTTTCTTGAGGATCAGGTGTGAACCTTACATCCTTAGGCTTCATCAGTTATTAAACAGATAATGTAACTCCCAGGCTGAATCTGTACCTATATCTATATGTCACACGGGTAGTATAGCAGGTGATTGGAAGTTAAGTTGGTCACGTTTCTTTCTAACTGATAGCTAACAATTAATGTCTTGCACATCTAACTGATAGCAATTGCACATGTAGGCCTCATCATGACCTGTACGTATGATTAAATAAAAAAAGAAATGTGCGACCATTTTTCATTTCACATTTTCCCATTAACTCACTACTGACATGAAGTTACTGAACCTCCTTCTAGTTTGATGTTATTCCATCGGAGGCTGCTTCTTCGCATAATTCTTCTATGAAGAGAAAAGAAGATGAGGGAAAGAGGAAGAAGGGCTCAGGGGCTGTGAAAATAAGCCCATGGGCATTAGCTCGTCTTAATGCTGAAGAAGTTTCGAGGGTTGCTGCAGAGGCACGGAAGAAGTCCAAAGTTTTAGTACCAATCAGAAAAGATGACTATTCACGAGGCCACGAAACAGATAGTAGCTACGGAGGCATGAGCAGTGGTAGGATTGATCTAGGCCCCGATAGCAAGAGGAGAACAAACAGAAGAGGAAGACAGCCCAGTGATCTATCCCTCAAACCTGTTGCAAAGATATCAACAGATGCTATTGATTCTACCAGCAGCGACATGGCCCCTGAAACGATGTCCAATTTAGCTCCATTGCAACTTGAGGCACGGAGCGCCTTCCATCCCAGTAGGGCTGCATCCTCTGTGAATGTTGGTGGGTCATCTCCAGATAGCAGCTTGGATTCACCTGACCTGCATCTGTACCGAGTCTCAGCTGTCTCCTCGTCTGGAGCAGAAGACTTGCAACTGACAGCTCTCACTGCTCCAGGAAGCACTCCACAGCAAGGGATTCAACTGTCGAGATCGACCAGCGATGGGTATGAAGCATCAGGGGGTGAAGACAGCGACCGCATTCCGTCACGGATAGTGCACCGCTCGTCAAACTGGGCAAGCATCATCCTCAACTCCGACCAGAGTGCGTCTTCATCTGGCATTCTTGTGCCAAAGAACAGATTGTCCTGACTTCAGATGAATGGAGATTATACTGTAAATGATTAGCCAAGAACTGGAGATTCCAGTATCTGATTTTCTTTGTTGTCAATGTCAAATCTTGTCGCAGGGATGGTTGGATACTGCGCAAATCATTAATTTTTTTGTTAGTCTCTGAATCGCTAGGTAGGCAGTGTCTGAATTTCTTCCGTGGGGTTCAGGTGCTTGTAATTTTGCTGTCAGACAATGAACTGATTTATTTAGAGGTTGGTACCTTCAGATCAATGCCCCGTTCGCTTGGCTGATAAGCCATAGCTGAAAGTATTGTTGATTGATTTACTGTGAGAGTGTAAGTTGTGAATGATTGATCGTATCTCATGTATGAGTACAGGGGATTACATATAGGCAGCTAGGGTGGCGTACAAGCCTACCGCATGGGCCTAATCACATTCACTAACATGGGCCTAATTACATCATGCTAACACTCCCCCTCAGTCTAATCGGGAGCATCGCTAACGGTCAGGCTGGACCGAAACTCCTGAAACAAAGAAGTAGGAAGCCCCTTGGTGAAGACGTCGGCGATCTTGTGATGTTGTAGGAACATGAGTAACCCGAACGTGACCGAGGGCAACCTTCTCTCGAACAAAGTGGAGATCGATCTCAACGCGATTTCTTCACCGATGCCGATCTTGACTTTGGATTCTTCGGAGAGATAGACAAAGACCGACATTATCGCAATAGACCAGAGTGGCACGGCGAGGAGGGCGCTGAAGCTCAAGGAGCAACCGACGAGCTAAGTAAGCTGCGACGCCATTCGCCAAAGACGGTATTCAGCCTCCGCTACTGGACCGGAGGCTGTGTCTTTGTCAGCTGGAAGACCATGACACAAGGTTGTCTCCGAGAAAGACTGCAGAATCGGAAGTCGACCGTCGGGTGTCGGGACAACCAAATTTAATCGGCGCCGTGTAGACAACGAGCTCGTGGGGGAAGAGCGGCACATAGTCAATCCAAGTGTCGAGTGCCTCGCAAGTAGCGCAAGATACGCTTGAGGGCTGAAAAAGGTGAGGCTCTCGAGGATCATGCATGTAAAGGCAAATATCTTTGGACAAAGAAACGCAATATCCGGACGAGTGAAAGTCTGGCATCGTAGAGCTCCCGCTAAAGCTCGCGCATCTTGAGTAAGCGCCACCTGTGGGGTCCATCTTCGGATAATTTGGAGTGGAGATCAACAAAGGCGTCTTGACGGCTTTGCACGCACTCATCCTGCCAGCCCAAAATGTCCAAAGTGTAACGCCGTTGGGAGAGAAACATACCCTTAGCGAACGTGTCACGAGATGCCCAAAAATGATGAAGCTGTCCCATGTCGGTCATAGCAAACTCACGCCTGAAGTGCCGCAATCACTGGCGCGAGGAACCGGGCGTAAGAGGCAAGTGAGAACAATGTCGTCGACGTACAGCAGCAAATATGCGGTGTCAGATCCCCGGCGGTAGATGAACAGTGAGCTGTCGGACTTGGTTTCAACAAAGCCAATGGAGGACAAATATGAAGCAAACCTGTGATGCCATGCACGAGGAGCCTGCTTCAGTCCATAGAGGGATTTGTTGAGGCGACATACCAAACCCGGACCAGAGGAGTCCACGAACCCGGTGGAAATGCACACAATATCTTGTCTCGGCGAGGGTGCCGTGTAAGAAGGCATTCTTGACGTCCAACCGATGAATAGGCCAATCTCGAGAGAGAGAGCAAAGAGAGAATAACACGAATCGTCATTGGCTTGACAACCTGGCTGAAAGTCTCATCATAGTCCGAGCCAGACGCTGTAAATCCTCAAGAACCCAACGAGCCTTGTACCGATCAAGAGACCCGCTCGCATGCGGTTTGTGCCGAAAAAATCCATTTGCGGTTACCACATTGACGCTTGGGGAGGGCGAGGAACCAAGCTCCGTGTGTCGTTGGCAATCAAGGCGTCAAATTCAGCCTGCATAGCTGAGCGCCAATTGGGATCTGACAGGGCGTCACGAACGGAGCGCGGGAGCGGCGACACAGGCACAGCGTGGAGGTTGAGACGATCCACGGGCTGTGCAATGCCGGCTTTGCCTCGGGTGCGCATAGAATGCGCGTTGTCGACTGGAGTGATGGAGACCGGTCTCGGTGGCAGGCGGCCCCGTATCGCGCGCTATGGCGACAACTCAGACGTGACGTCTGAGGGCAGCGGCCAGCCGCCGGGACGGACTGGGCGCCAATGATCGATGGGCGAAGCCAAATAGTGGCCCGGCGAATATGGCCAATGACAGGGGAGCACAGCTTTTTCTTACATGCGAGTGGCGATGGCGGGCATTTGCTTGGCGTGCTGAACGAAGGACCAATACAGCGGCGTTGTACCTGCATGCACGAATTTTGCTCCAGGAAGTGGAGCGGTTAGCTCATCATCATCAATAAGAAAATCCAAGGCGGAGGATGCCATGGGGGTGGTGGACATGTCGGCGAAAGGAAAGAAGGATTCATCAAAGACGACATGTCGGGAGGTGATGATGCGATTCGACTCTAACTCGAGACACCGATAACCTTTGTGCTCCGAGGAGTAGCCGAGGAAAACACATAGGGATGAACGAGGTGCAAGTTTGTGGGGTGCAGTGGATGACATGTTGGGATAGCAGGCACAGCCAAAAACTTTGAGGTGTTCATAAGATGGTTGAGTAGAGTAGAGATGAAAAAATGGGGTGGAGGAGGAGGCGAGCGTTTTGGTGGGGAGCCGGTTGACCAGATATGTGGCGGTGTGAAGTGCCTCAACCCAGTAGACCGGAGGAAGGCTCGCCTGAAATAACAGAGAACGCAAGATGTCGTTAATGGTGCGAATCGAGCGTTCGGCCTTGCCGTTTTGCTGTGACGTGTAGGGGCACGACATGCGGAGTGCAACACCGTGAGAGAGGAAGAACGTGCGGGCCATTGAATTATCGAATTCACGGCCGTTGTCGCACTGGACGCTCTTAATAGGGGTGCCAAACTGCGTGCGTACGTGAGCAAAAAAATTGGCGATGGTGGAAAAAGTGTCAGACTTGAGGCGAAGCGGAAAAGTCCAAATGTAGTGTGAACAATCATCTAAAATGACCAGATAATATTTATACCCAGACACACTGACAATAGGAGATGTCCAAAGATCATAGTGTATTAAATCAAAATTGTTTGTAGCTCGAGAGGTGGAAATACTGAACGGGAGTCTAGTATGGCGACCGAGCTGACAAGCATGACAGAGATGATGGGTGTCATCTTTATTACAGGAAATAGCACTGGAACTAATGAGGCGGGACAATGCTTCACGCCCAAGGTGACCGAGACGACGGTGCCATAAGGAGGTGGGTGCAGCGAGGAGTGCAGTGGCGCTGGTGGCTGGTGAGAAGAACGGGTAGAGGTCGCCAGAGCTATTGCACCTGGCGATCACGTTCCTGGTTTGTAAATCCTTCACAGAAAGACCAAACGGATCAAATTCAATAGAACAATTATTGTCGGTGGTGAAGCGACGAATGGAAATCAAGTTCTTAATGATATGTGGAGAGACCAAAACATTATTAAGCACTAGATTACGATGTGGAAAAGAAAAAGTACGGGATCCGATGGCTGTGACAGGAAGTAAAGCGCCATTGCCCACAATGATAGATGAAGGTGTAGATAAATTGGGCGGGGAGGTCGTGGAGAGTATACCAGCGTCGCAGACATGTGTGATCCAGCACCAGAGTCGGCGTACCACTCCGCCTGAGCCGGAGGGTTGAGTGCCATCGTGTTGAAGTTCTGCACCAAGGACTCCTGGTTCCAAGCGCCGCCGTGCGTGGGGTTCAAGGGGGCCGAGTGATACGGGCTCCTCGAACGTCGGTGTCGAGGGCATGCTTGCCCCCGTAGCCGTAGGGGTAGCTAACCTTGGCGCCAGTAGAACATGCCATTTGGGACCGCCGCCGTAGGGGGCCCGAGACCGCTTGTTGGGTGTGCCACCTTTGAGGGGGCACCATATCGAGGGTTGGCGGTGAACGCCGGCGATGGGGCGGTGGCGCGACTGGCCACATCTGCAGCAGGTGCCGCCCAGGTGTGTGGTTTGAGGCGCACCACCGAGCCAGTGAGGCGGTGTCTGCCGCTTTGGTCTTTGGTGGCCCGGACCACAGCGCCGCGCCCGCCCTGCTGACGATGACGGCCGACGACCACCTTCTTCGACCACTGTCTCGAGCGCCTTCTTTGCCGGTGGCCGGGAGGACGGGCAGAGAAGCAGAGGGCGCTGCGCATGCCCTTGGCGTGGAGCGGAAGCGCCGTGGCGTGTTGGCGATGAGGGGGAGGTGGAGACGGTGGGCGAGCGTCGATGTCGATCTCCTCAAGTAGCAAATGTGTGCGAGCGTCGGCGAAGGACGGAAACGGGCGATGCATCTTGAGGATAGACACCATGTGGCGGAACTTGCCGTTGAGCCCGCGAAGAAGGGTGAGCACCATCGGCGGTCACCAATAGGATCACCGAACTTCGGCAAGAGATGCGACCATGGTCTCCAGTTTGCGGCAGTAGTCGGTGACCGTCATGGAGTCTTGACGGAGGTTGCGGAATTGCGTCTCCAGGAGGAGGGCACGTGACTCCTTCTGGCCAAGGAATTCATCCTCGAGATAGCACCACGCCACGCCGCTGGGCGCAGCGTTGCGGATCATGAGCGATCGTTGAAGATCGGCCGGAGACGGTGCCGAAGATCAAGACAAAGACGACGCAGTCCACAGACCCATACGGGGCGGTCAGGGGAGGGCTTCGTCGTCGAGGACGTCTTGATGTCGAAGGCATACTTGCCGAAAGCACGGTGAGAAACATGCCGCGCCACTTGGGTATGCGTGCGGTGGCCTTGTCGAGATGATAGGGATCAACGCTTTGACGCGTTGACGGCAGCGGCTTCTGCGCCCGAAAGCCTCATGGCTGGCCTCGTACTTCTCGAGGCGTCGGCGCGAGGCGTGCCTCTCTCGCACGGCGCGCGGCAGCAAGCGCGTTCTCGGCGGTGCGCGCTTCCTCGGCGTAGGCATTGCGGCTTCTTTACGCCGCCGCGCGCCTCGAGTCATCTCCCGCCATGGAGACGGGCGGGCGTGACAAGACGTGAGAGCGCGCGAGGCGGCGGACGTCCATGCTGCTGGAGAGCGCGACGATCGGGTGGGTTGCAGCGACGCGAGATCGCTAGAACGGTGGGTTGGCTGCAAGACACGAGATCGCGGCGCGAGGGTGGATCGACCGGACCAGGGTCGGGCGATCGAGGACCTTGCGAAAGCAGGTCGGGCGACGTTCCGGCGTGGTGAACGGCGGCGTGGAACGGCGAGCTGCTGCTCGGGCGCGGCGCGTAGTGAGTGAGGGTTGCGGAAGCGGAATTAGCGGATCGTAACCGCTCTTTGATACCATGTAAGTTGTGAATGATTGATCGTATCTCATGTATGAGTACAGGGGATTACATATAGGCAGCTAGGGTGGCGTACAAGCCTACCGCATGGGCCTAATCACATTCACTAACATGGGCCTAATTACATCATGCTAACAGAGAGAAAAATACTGTTCGTTGGCTGTAAAAATACGGCCGTAAGCAAAGCTAACAGGGCGTATGCCTGATTGGTTGGTGATTGTTCTTGAGGTTGACTTGTCGGCTCCGACCATGTGCTGTGATGAAAACAATGGCATGTATATGCTGCAACAGGCAATGGGCATTCAGAAAGTAAATTGTCTGACTATAAATATCGGCCTGTGCAAATCCTGTCATCTGGAACACACTGTTATTTAATGGCCGTACTAGGTATACTTTTATTAAGGCCCTGTTTAGATCCCACCCAAAATTCAAAAAATTTTAAGATTTTCCGTCACATCAAATCTTACGGCACATGCATGGAACATTAAATGTAGATAAAAAGAATAACTAATTGCACAGTTTGCCGTAATTGACGAGACGAATCTTTTAAGCCTAAATAATCCATAATTAGACATTTTTTACCAAATACAAACGAAAGTGCTACAATAGTCAAAAGGCAAAAATTTTCGCATCTAAACGGGCCTAAGTCATACGTACTCAACCAAGTCAAACATTGAATCCGAGAATAAATTACATCGACGTCACGTGATAAAGGTCAGACACTTTGGTTTTGGTGCCAAACATGTCGCATGAAACCTCCAGGAGTAACACTTTTATCAGTTTGACGATCGGTTAGATTCGCTGCTCCGGAAATCCAAAGAACACTATTTATATGACATTTTTTTGCCTCAGTTATTTTGAGATAGAACGAACAATGTTACTTTTTTATTTTCTCAACTTGCTCCTGACAACTTGTTTTTTTAAAGAGTGGTAGCGTTTGCTATATTCAACCAAATTGAAGCAAAATGTCAGGGGTTATCATGTAAAAAAAAAAGTGTCAGGCGTTAATGTCGGCCCCACGCACCAACTGACGGTGAGGGACACAAACTGAACAGTCAGTTGTCTATGAACACTTTTTCCCACCCCGTCTGTGAACACTTGACAGTAAAATACGCGAATTGTTCATTGAACAGGTTCGATCTTGGGCATAAGGCACAGCCAATAATCTATGGAAGTCAATGGACTGTTGATCTGAGGAAGAAAAAAGAATTCATCTGTCTATAAAATGCATGGATTATCATCCCAAGTTCTGTGCCGACAAAGCATAATGCTCAAAGATAATAAAGAAATAAAAAGATGCTTCAGATGCAAAATGCTAAGCTTCAGAGTTGATATGTCTTCAGCAGCACACATTACACAAAGAAAGAATACTCTCAAGAAGGTTGCTTAGCTCCAAGATGACTTGTGGATGCTAATTGCTAAAGGCAATCAGCATCTTCTGCAAAGACAAGAATACACCACACAGATTTGTCGCTTGTAAGAACTTTTTTCAGATAGTAGGAAGACAGATCATCAGAAATCTGAAAATCTAGGGCAATCAGACTTCTTCAAAAAAAAAAAAAAAACAGAATACAGGTAAATAAGCATAAACTCAAAATGACGACAGCGTTTTGCCAACAAACATCATCAACAGCACAAACATAAAGTCACTGAAGACGCACATTTAGCTTGAGTGATACTTGAAGAATCAAGATTCGTATTTCCCCAGTAACAAATGTTTCATCCAGTATAATCAGAATGCCGTTAGGAACAAAATTCCACAACAATTACATCGATATGCTACTTACATCATTTTGAAAGAATGCTACACATATCACCAGCTCTTGAATCGCTGCCAAAACTCAGATCTGATCGAGAACACACCACGACAGATCTCCCTCTAAGCTTCCCATCCAAATCCGCTATTAACTAAGCATGGATATGCCAAGTGGCTGCAAAAATGTTCCTTTCAACACCAACTTCAGCTAATCAACCCAAGCATACACATAAGCCATGGCGCCGTAACCACCAATACCACTGGCCAATCTGTGCGGCTCTTGGCAAATGCCCATCTCACTTATTTTCCTGTGATGCTATGAACAGATACACATGTGAGAAATAAACTAATCTTCTTCATCACCTAATTGCATCTAGATTGCCAGCTCTCATCATCTCAAGCTCCTCAACCGAGCCACCCTCCTCGTCCAAGAAGTCCAAGTTTGATGACCGGCAAGTGAAGTAGAACACCGCACTCATCATTGAATCAATCAGCATCACGAATGAGTACATGAGGACCAACAATGGCCCCTCCCAGAGCCGCGATGAGCCATCGCCATAGCTCAGCGTCTTCACCCTGTGCTCAAACAGCCCTTCCACGAAAGCTAGGCCAATGGTGGACCCAAGGAAGATGAGCAGCCCGACGTGGGTCTGCCCACGCATCAGCTGCACCGACCGGCGCAGCGCATTAACCCCGGCCACTTCCTCGAGAACGGCGATGACGCCGCCGAGGTTGCAGATGATGATGGTGTGCGCGTACACCACGGAGTAGGCGAGAACAGTGAAGAGGCCCGCGCAGACGACAATGTCGGGCGGGTAGAGCATGGCCCTGAGCGTAGAGCAGGCCGTGACGAGGAGGGCGAGGAAGGCGACGAGGCCGGCGGCGACGGTGGCGCACCCGAGCGCGTACGTGGCGGCAAGGCGCGGCCACGCGCGGCGCGCGAGGAGGGTGATGTCCCCGGCCGCGAGGGGCTTCCCGGCGTACACGGCCGCGACGGTGTATGCCACGGCTGCGCGGGCAGCGAGGAGGAGCGTAAGAAGCGCCGGTAACGAGACGACGGCGGACACGAGAGTGGCGGTGAGGTGGTGCGCCAGCTGCCTGACGAAATGCGTGAGCGGGAGCCCCGACGTGGCGGCGGCGACGAGGAGCCTCCGCGCGAGCGGCACCACGACGGTCCCGTCCAGCGCGGCCGCGGACAGGAGGAGGCACCCGGACGCCGGGCAGAGCAGCAGGAAGAGGATGGACATGAACGCGTGCGGGTCCCCGCGCAGCACGCGCACCGTCTCCCGCAGGATCTCCATCGCGTTCATCGGCGGCAGACGCACCCCGCCTCCGGCGCCCCGCGTCGGCGCCATTCGTCCCGGCTCCTTCCCCGCCGCCTCTTCTGTGCTCTCCTTTAGATTCGCGGCCACTTCTCAGCGCACCCAAGACCCCGCCGAAGACTCGCCGGTCAGATCCGGGACGATATCCCGGCGGCACAACGCGCGCGCCCAATGCGGTGTTCTGCGACGGGAATTAGGGTCCAGCGGGTGGGATCTTGGGGGATGATAACGGTGTGGGAGGAGGTGGAGGAGAAGTTTCTTTGGAGCAGAGATCGAGGGGGGCTTTTGTTAAGGGAGACGACGATGAGAGTGTTTGGGGGGTGGTGGAGGTTGAGACACCGACAGTTCACTGGGGAGGATGACAGGTGGGTCCAAGGAGGGTTGGCCGTTTGCTTCTGTGGGAGTGTGGCAGGTGGGTCCCGGAAACGAGGTACAGTGAAGCTTCCGCGCACGGATTCCTGTGGGTTAATCTTTGTCAACGGTGGTAGTACTAGAAACGATGAGTGTGAAGAATTCTAAAGAGTGTGATTAAATTTTGTACGTCCAAATTGTTTGACGAAAAGAGTATGGGTTAGGAGATTAATCTACTATGTACCATTCATTCGTTTGACAATATCAAATTTCATTCAAACATTGGTTTGGTAAGAACTTATCACCAAATAATGGTGTTTTCTCTTACAATAAACCAAGATCAAATGGTAGCTTATCAAAGAAACCAATCGTGAACAGTCTAAGCTAACCATCGGCGTTATGATTTATTTGACACACGTGGATTTCGCATTGAACATGTCATTCCCAAAGAGCCTAGAAACCACAGTATGGCCCTGTTCGCTGGGAGAAATTTGGAGGAATCTGAATGAATCTGAAGGAATTTGTAAGAGAGTGAACAATATTTTTCAGCCATGAACAGTAAATTCCGGTTGATTTTAAGGGCGGGTGAACGGGGCCTATATCAGGTTCGTTTTTTGGTAAATTCATTTCATGTGCGTGGAAGTTTTCATTTTCCGAGTGTATCTCAAGGTTTGGTGTACACTTTGTTTTATTGACAAATCCATTCAATTTGAGTGTTCTGAGGCCCTGTTCGCTTTGTCTTATAAGTTGTACTTTTTCAACGAACGAACCGTATTTTTCTCTCACAACAAATCAGCCAACAATACTTTCAGCTATGGCTTATTAACCAAGCAAACGGGGCCTTAGTTTAAGATAGAGCTGACTCGTTTTATGACGCCATTTGCAAAAAAAGGATGGGGGATAATCAATTATACTGGAAATGAAGTACAGTACATTTCCCTCAACGATAGCATGCAGTTGCAACAGCAGGGAGATAAAACAGGCCCAACAGCCCTTAAAAAAACTTGAACTGACTCGGTCCTACTAGCGATTAACAAGCCAGTAGCAAACGAAGGCATCAGGACAAAACGAAAGTGACAATCGAAGCCACGAAGCAAAAATATCTTTCGTTCTTCAGTGTGCCCATTGCCATCATTAGCGAAGGCAGAGGCACCCAAATGGAAACGCCAGCGAAGCCGGCTTCATGACGAAGCAAAGCCTATGCTTTAGGGCTTGTAAAATGAAATGGACCACCAAGATACTTATTTCCCTTGCTCAAGTCTAAATACACTCATTGCCATGGCATGCACAACATTTTAAAACTCGCCTACGATGCTTTCCTTGCACTTGCCTCTTGGCTACACACACTCTTGAAAGGCATACCAGGAGTGTAGAATGCCCAACTATCCAACTGGAGTGTGTCCTCATACATCACGTGCAAACGAAGAAAATCATAAATTCATACTTCATTCGAGGCCCAAAACATGAAAGAGATGAATTATGATAAGGTGCATGGAAATGTGCTTGAAGGAACACACAGCCATCAGATCAATCTGTAAAAGCTCCAGAATACAATACTACAAGGTACTGCATCAGTATGACGGGGAAATTCCCGTCGCATATCTATGAAAAATTCAAACCGATCCAGCAGAATTATCTAATACAAGTAACCAAAAGGAAACAAAAGCAAAAGGAGATAAAGGGGCAAACATATGTACCTATGTTGCTAGCACTCTGCTTAACAACATTATTTCTATGTTGCTACGTTAACCTATTCAAGAATACTACAGCACCGTTTCAGAGGATATGTTGCCTATACGTATCTCTTGGGAGTCTTGACGATTTTGATAGCTCCATCAGTGGCTCGATTAACTGTCCAGGTGCTTGGCCTAGCTGCCTCTTCATGCTCTCAATCGACGAAACACAGACGGCTAATAATCCGGGATGGATGCAAAAGTGTACCCTTGCGCTCCTCTCCATGAATAATAAGCAGCTCGAGTCTCATAATAACCTGTAAAACAGATTTACAGCCACATTGAAGTCACATAGTTGACAGAAAAAGTCAATCTAAACTGTCAACTATCTACTGATCACAAACTAACCAATTTTACTGATCACATTGCTAGAAGAATATAACTAAAATACTTAACGACTTGGGACAAAGATACATTCAGACTCTTCCAGAAATGCATGTCTGCATCATTCGTGCCCAAAAAAGAAGGCACAATCTGAAAAGTAAATACAGAAGGATGAAGTGGTTTGTGGTAACATACCGGGAAGGAAAGCAAGCACACCCAGCAATAAGAGACCATATGCCTGAGAACCATCACCCTCCATGTGATTTGCGAATATAAAATATGCCAGGGAGAGGAGTAAAATTCCTATAAGGAGGAGAAAAAGTGCTAGGGCAATTGACTTCCATGGAATTCTCATGTGCGATTTTGGTGTGTAGGTGAATCTTAGGTTATCATCAGCTTCTTCACGAGCAAGGTCTCCATCTATATCCTCCATAGGAAGATGTGAATACTGAACATTGCGTGTTGTTGCCATTATAGGATCTGCAACGAAATGTATTAAAAAAAACCGAAAGTAGCGCAAAAATATATAAGATCACACAGTGGAGCAAATATAATAGAGCTAGAAACTTGAGTCCTTGAAGTCCCCTATCAGTGGAAACATCACAGCCTTAAAGATTGTTAGATGTATAGATGTACTTTGTATTTTCCCTCTACTTGGAGGGGTTCTTTGCATATGTACACACATGTATACTTGCCCCTTTGGGCCTAGAATAGATCAGTTGGCCAATTCTAACATGGTATCGAGCTAGGGTTCCAGGTTTCACCTCAGCCACCGGCCGACCCCGCCGCCTCACGCGGTCCTGCGCGGCCATCTCGCGCACCCACTCCGTGTGGCTCCGCGCCCGCCTTGCGCGCGCGGCCACCTGCACGCGGCCGCTACTCCTTCCTCTGCGTGCTCGGCTGCTCGCCCCCTCTCCTCTGTTTTTGGCCCACCCGCCTCCCAGCCCGGTGTTGCTCCCTCCTCTGTTTCTGGTGTTTGCTCCTCCTCTGTTTCCTTTTCCTTCCACAAACTCCTTCCAAAAAAAAAAACAGCGAGCTCTCTTCTTCCATGGCATCCCCCGGGCGCCCTGGTGCTATTCCTGTCCCTCGGTGCCCTGTCATTTTCAATGGCACGAATTGGGGTGACTTTGTTTTCCATTTGGAGGTTCACATGGATGGGCAGCTATTGTGGGGCTACCTCATGGGTGAGCGGATCTGTCCTCCCTGTCTTGTTCTCCCCACGCTGCCCACATACCCGTCAGATGCTGATGATGATGCCAAGACTGCTTTATTTGAGGCATTTGAGGCATATGAGACTTGGCTGCGCGAGGAGAAATCTGCTAAGGCTATCTTACTTGCGAGCATGGAGGTTGATCTCGCACGGTCCCTCAGAGGTCTTGCCACTTCACACCTTATGTGGGATCACCTCCGTCGCAGTTACGAGATCCGTAACGAAGCGATGTACCTTGCTGTTGATGAGGAGGCTCAGTCACTTCGTCAGCTTGATTCTACAGTTGAGGACTTCCACCGTCAGATGACAGACGTCTGGCATCGTTTAGACGGTTTGGGTGCTGACGTCTGGCATCGTCTAGACAGTTTGGGTGCTGAGTTCTGCGGTGGTGGTACTTGTCGGTGATGTGACCGCCACCAGGACAAGAGAGACACCCTTCGCCTTCACGAGTTCCTATCTCAGCTGCGTCCGGAGTTTGAGACTGTTCGGGCGTAGTTGCTGACTCGTTGTCCTCGCCCATCGCTCTCCGAGGTGATGCCTGAGCTGCGAGCCGAGGAGACCCGTCTTCGAGCTGGGGGTGTGAGTCGTGCTCCGCTGCAGCCCTCCGTCCTGGCAGCCCCAACTCCACCGGTCTCCCCGCCTCCGTCCCAGTTTCTGGTGGTGGCGGGGGTCCCTTCTAGGGTGCAGTGTGGCTACTGCAAGATCTACGGCCATGAGGAGAAGGATTGTCGCAAGAAGCAGCGCGACCGACAGGGGCGTCGTGGCAGTGGTAGACGCTACTCTCAGGGCCCCTCTCAGGGCTCTGGTGGTTCCTCTACTTCGCAGGGCACTAGTTTTGTGTCTTCCGCGGAGCAGGAGGTTCTTGCCCTATTTCGTCGCCTCACTACTGTAGCTCAGGCCTCCACTCATGGGACTACAGCTCAGGCTTCTAGTTCCGCCCCTCCTCCTCCTCCGTCAGGTATATCATCCCCATGGTTTTTTGACTCTGGTGCCTCTTTTCATATGACACCCCATGCGACACACCTGTCCTCTCTGTCTTCTTCCGATCCACCTATTTTTGTTCGCACCGCAAATGGCACTTCCCTTCCTGTTGTTGGGAGAGGTGTTATTTTGACTTCTTCTTTTGATGTTCCTACTGTTTCGCATGTTCCCCAACTCACCATGCAACTGCTATTTGCGGGTCAAATCACTGATCATAGTTATCGCATAATCCTTGAGTCTGATTCTTGTTGTGTTCAGGATCTCCGTATGGGCCTTTTGGTGGGAACTGGGCCTAGGCGTCGGGACTCACAACGCCTATGGGAGCTTGATTGGTTGCGTCTTCCTTCACCCGCTTTGACTCCTCCATCACCCGATTCTCCAGCATCTGCGTCAGCTGCTTCGTCTACCGCTTCTTTTGCGCAGTGGCATCGTCGTCTTGGCCACCTCTTTGGTTCTAGATTGTCCAGTCTTGTTGGTAGTGGTGTGTTAGGCCCTGTTTCTGGTGACACTGCTCTTAATTGTATGGGTTGTAAACTTGGAAAATAGTTGCAACTCCCCTATCCCTCTAGTGAGTGTTGATACCTGTGGAGGCACACACAGACAAAAACCGCAAGCGCACGGGTATCGAAGTAGTTTTCACCCGGAGTATTATCGAGTATCGTATCCACGGGGAAACGTGTGTGTGTTGTCTAACAAGTTTGTCTAGGGATAGCAATCAAGGTTTAAGGTATGAGTAGACAGGATTCCTATGGTTATGACCCTACGCAAAGCAAGACTTATGATTCTAATGTTCACTTTAGGACGCCGCTTAAACGGTAAAGCACCGCTAATAGATAACTCTACCGACACGACTACGGTCCTACTAATTTAAGAACCTGCTTAATTCGATGTGGACTACAAAGGATAGACAGGGCTGTCACCTCCCGCTGCTACCACACAACCAGAAAGCAGAGAGCAAACATAGGTAGTCGATAGCCTAAGCACCACGCTTATGCTAACGATTACTACTCTAATCCAGCTAGCAAGAACTAGAGCATTCAAAAGAACTGTGAACCCATGAACAAAAGAGCACAAAACTTACTTTAAATAGAAATCAATTACCAGAGGTATCTCAGATGTACACTTGAAGAAGCCTAGATCCGCCAAAGTACAAGCCGTAGAGGTAGCACCGATAGGCCGGTACTCCCTCCAAACTCTTCCCTCACTCTCTAGCTCACTAATTCTATTGCAAGACTAGATCCTATAGAGGACTAATCTTCTCTTGAGAGCTGGCTCTGATCCTGATGAGGAGGATATGAATTAGGGTTTCAGAATAGCTCCAGGGAGGGGGGCAGGGGCTGGTATATATAGGCCAGAGCGTCAATTATGGACCATCGGATCAAACCGACTTGAAAGAATGGCGTAGATGCAATCTAGGAAGCGGTGGAGAACCGACATTCGAAGGAGGGGCTGACAGGTGGGCCCAGGGGGCCGGGCGGCCTGCAGGTGGGGCCGGCCGGCCCCACATGGCTGCCACCTGCCCTCCGCTTCGGTGGTTTGCTTTCTGGAGTCTTCCAAACTCAGTGTTGTAGATCCACCATGAGTTTGAGGGGGTGTTAGATGTATAGATGTACTTTGTATTTTCCCTCTAGTTGGAGGGGTTCTTTGCATATGTACACACATGTATACTTGCCCCTTTGGGCCTGGAATAGATCAGTTGGCCAATTCTAACAAAGATATCCCAAAATTATGGACTTAATAACTGAGTACAGAGTTAAACTTGGATCTATCAGTGATTTCTAGTTAGTCAGATTACATATGCTCATTCTAAATGAAGAGTTCAACAATTTTTAAGAATGAACAGAAAGCATTTCATAGATTAGCAAGTCAAGTAAATTCTTACATACGAGAAGAACAAAGGGAACTCTAGCTGGTTGAATGAAAATAACGGAGAACTGAACATAAGCTCAAACACAAAACCATATGAATAATTGAATATAGACAGCAATAGTATCACATGGCATCAGTTCTCTACGACTTCCAAAGCTAGAGGTACAGCATGGCAGGAGCCAAATGCATGTGTGAAAAATAAATCATATGAATGTTGACACCATTACAGGACTTCAATAGGACATGTAGTCTAAGCAAGTATCTCTAGATTATGACTATCAATTAGTAATTGTCTATATTCATGGGATCCAGTTATGCGAATTCGAATTTGTTTGCTATTGTTGCCACTGCAATACAGAATAGAAAGAGTAAAGTAGATGCGCTTCCTGCTTGCAGCTCTCACATACTCGTGATTACTAAGCACGTCCACGATTAAGCCCTAAGGACAACCTAAAGTATCATAATCATAAAGAGCTTATCCCCCCACTACACTCGATGCAGTTACATCGGCTATGCGTGGAACAAATAGGCCAATAGCTGGATAAGAGAAGGGCATCCCAGCAATTGGTTAATCGGCCGGGATGGGTTAACAACCAATGCAGAGTAAGTGAGGCGCATATGTGCACTAATTGGACGCGGATCGGACGATCCGTCGAACACCATGCGTGCGGGTGCGGTGGAGGGGAGTGGGGAGAGCTAGGACAGTGCCTGACCTGGAGCACGTCGGGCGGGGAGTTGGCGAGGAGCCGAGGAGGTGGGTCGGCACCGGTGCTGGACGCCGCTTGGGAGGCTGGCGGAGGCCGTCAGCGGCGCCGGGCCGGCGACTGCGCAACGCAAAATCGAGGTGAAGCAGCGGGACTGCGGGAATTGTTCGCGTACGAATCGCGAAGTATATGGTCTAGTGCGAGTAGGTTATCGCGACACGAATACATGGATGGATGGAATTCTCTAATTTTTTTTAATTTTCTCTGTAATTCAGAAAATATACCAGAAATATAACATGCTCCATCTGTCCCATAAAAAAGTAGCTATAAGATTGGTACTGGTCAAACTTTTATAAATTTAATTAACAAGATTTATAAAAAATATTAGTAATATTTGTACCTTTACATAAGTTTATTAAGGCCCCTGTTTGGCGAGAGCTTTCTAGCGGCTTAGCTTGAGCCGTTTGCCAAGCCAAACGGGTAAAATAAAACGGCTTCACCGATGAGTTTTCTAAAACGCATCTTATTTACATAAGTTTTTGGGTGGGAAGGATAAAAAATAGTAATTCACCTCATTCTACATATAGCGTTCTCTCGAGAGCATATTTTAAGAAAAACTATATGTGAAGTTTGTTTTGCCAAACGATTTATAGTTCTGACTCCACCCAAAAATAAAAAGGGTTTCATGGGTGAAGTGGAGCCGTGCCAAACAGGGCCTAAGAAAATAAAATCAATAATTTATCTAACGATAAGTAGTAGTAAAAATATTAATATTTTCTTATATATGTTGATCAAAATTAAAAATATGTTATATTCCTTATTTAAAAAATGTTACGCATGTCCTTAAAAATGCAAAATTTATATATGATGTTTTTTATTTTAAATGTTTTGAATATCCAAAGTCTTGAAGATTTTACAGTAAATCACATCTCTACTGATTATTTGTGGCAAAAGTTTCATACACAGAAGAGCTAATGTGAGAGTGCAGAAAGTACAACTATGTTTTTAGCTTGTTTAATACATTAGTTAAAAGAGAGAGAAAATGATTTCCCTGAATTGTAAGATTAACATACTATTTAAGTAACTTATTTCTCTTAATATTAAATGGTCAAAATTTCATCCTAATTTTTTGTCTGCCTCGTATTAAGTATCATGATATACTGGAGAGTTTTTTCTATCCCGTTTTTTAAAATTTAATCTAGACCTATGACACATACTCATACGAGTTAGAACAACTCACGTATCACGATGATGGATACAATGTCCAACCCTAGTACGTACGTCCTCCGTATATGCGACCCGGACTTATGATCCATGTTATACTGTTAACACTGGATTTTGGTCGACTTCGGAAGATGACAGGTGGACCCGCATACAAGAAGGACATTCGGCAAACAAAACGAGCGGTCGGCTAAATGCTTGTGCGGTCGGTTACTTCAGAAGGTGGTGACTCCATTCGGGAAAGCAGAAGATGGCAAGCAAAGCCGATCGAAAAGATGAAAGTCGTAATAATAAAGGACTCTGAGAGTTTAGGGCAAGGAATCGTAGTTTCCAAGTTTGTTTAAGAGTTCCTTTGTAAATCGTAATCTTTTAGGACTCGTGTTTTGTCTAGGGTATAAATATTGACCCTCGACCAATATAATAGGGGTTCACAATCAAATCAATACAACCGGCCCCGTGCCAACTTTCGAGTTCTTTTGTCGTGTCGTCGAGTTCTTCGAGAGGAGTCATCGATCCGTCGACCTCCGTAAGTTCCGACAACCTTGTTATCATGTTTAGTATCATGCGGTGGATTTAAACGTGGTGCAAGTAGTCTTGTTTGTTTTCAATGATCGTGCGGCGGATCTTTGCTTGACAATCAAGAAGTCTTTGCTTATGCTTTGTTTATGAGTAGATACTGTATGTCGTTGAGCGTTTGCTCAATATGCTTAGTGAAGGCAAGGCAGGTTATCGGCTCTATTAGATATGGCAAAATCTACATAGATTCATTAAGTTATCTGTGTTGCATGTTTTAAATATTTTATATATTTGTAACACACTTACCTCAATCTAGATTGATATTGTTCGCCCTCATTTATGGTTTTATTCGTGCTTCAATGATCATTACTTTCAGTATTACCTTTGCAAGGAGATAACATGCTCGTAATGGCTGAATTGTTTAAATCTAGATTGTCACATGTTGTGGGTTCATGCATGTTAATTACGTTTAAGCCAGCGAAAATTTAAACTAGGTGTCGTCTGCGGCGGATCTGAGTTTTAGATTAGTTTAATTGTATTTATTTGCACGTTCCTTCTTCATGGATCCCAACTCGGATTGGATTCTTTGAGCTTGGTTATGCATTAACTCATGATTAATTTCACTTGTTTAAACATGTCTTCCCATGCACATGCATTCGGCAATCGGATCTTTTACGTGTGCTCATCTTACGATTAGCCGAATGGTTTATAAACTTCTTGGCGAGATAGCTTCCTATAGTCTGTATGTCGTTGTAAGTGGCCGAGGCCATATATATGGAACTATCTCGGTCTCACCCGACATGTTCCGGTTTGACATTTAACTGTTTTATCCCTTGTTAGTTTTTTCGAGTCAAACCGACCGCACGCTTCTGGATCACGAAGCACCGGGCACCCAATTGAAGCTACGCTTTCCGGCTTGTTGTGTGTGAGGCCTGATCGTCACATTTTGTGTCAACACACTTTTTGGCACGCTTGGGTGGGACCATCTGTTAGTTCAAGATGGCGTCCGAGATCAACAATGATCATGTTCGGATGTGAGCATGGCGAATTGCCGAGATAATTCTGAGGGATTTAGTGCTACAAGCGTGTGAGCAGTACCAACGGAAGTGTTTGATGTCTTTTTCAAAAACAAGAGCAACAAAGTGTTTCAAAAGCGATCAATGCCAAGGGTTCTTCTTCCACATCGGTGATTACATGAAGAGGAGGATGCTCGGAAGATGGCAGCCCCGGTTTATA